TCTTCAGTCTATTACCAAGACTACTTCATTGTTCTCCTGAGTGGTATTTGATTTTTGCCTTGTAATTTCTGTTCCATTATCTTTCATCACACATTCTTGGTCTTGAATTATTAAAAGTTTTCCTAATGTTCAATTCTCCTCACTGTGCTATGGCCAGCAGACAGCATAGTTTATCTTCATAAGGTTTCCTTATTCAGGAGCATTTGATGATACTTCTGTTAGCAGCATTGAATTTAGATAGATTAACCAACATTCAAGGTTTTTTCAGAGCTTCCTTCCTTCTCTAAACACTTATATCTTATTCCCTCATAGACCTTGTTCTACCAATTTATATCTTAGTGTTTCCCAGGCCTCGATGCTCTGCATGAACTGTCCCTCATAGCATCTGTGAGAATCTCATATTAAGGGTCTGGAGCCTGAGTGTTATGGTATTTTGCATGATGGACTTGGGAAATGTCAGGACTGAGTCCTGACTCTTCCACATCCTGGTTGGTTGACTATGGACAGGTTTCTTAAATTGTCATGCCCATGTGACATGCAAAATGGGAATAATCATTCTATTCACTTTATGTGGTTGTTGTGAGTCTGTTTAATTGATCTGGCACATTCTGAGCACTTAAGAAATGAAAATGAATGTATCGTATAAAGACTGTTCTTAGCTTGCTTTCTATAAGTAGCATTTTTTGAGTTTTATCTCATATATTTCCCTGATTTAGGTACTTGTTTATGGTCATTTGTAACAACACAATTGTGTGTAAGAGAGAGCAGGAGAGAAAGGGACAAAGAAAGGAAAGAGAGAATTGGTGTAATAAGGTCAGCTGTAAGGGAACTTGACATAAGGTAGTCTTTTTTTTTTCTTGTGTACTATATATGCCATTATAAAATATCTAGCCTGTTTTTTTTAGCATGAAATATTTACTTAATGAATGTCTCACTGGAGCTCTATCTCAACCATGGTCAAATTCCTAAGTTGAGTTAAGTTTAATGATTAAGTGTATTCAGCATTTACGTGCTCAAAAACCCAGTGTAGAAGGCTCAATTCTAATTCTAATACTTGGATGGAAAAAGCATTTAGAGAAATTTATTTTGTGATTCTGTCTTGTTTCCAGATGTCTGGACGTGCTGGAAGACGGGGCCAAGACCTGCTGGGAGATGTATATTTCTTTGATATCCCAATGCCGAAAATAGGGAACTCATAAAATCCAAAGTCCCTGAGCTGAGAGGGCAGTTCCCTTTCAGCATAACCTTGGTGCTGAGACTCATGCTGCTGGCTTCCAAGGGAGATGACCCAGGGGACGCCAAGGCAAAGGTACCCTGTGGACACTGTCTGAGGCTGATGGGCTACAGTGGGGTCTACTCTTCTTTTAGAAGTCTGTGGCAGCAACTTTTCAGTTTCATCTGTCTTCCTTCATTCCCTCCCTCTCTCCTTTCCTTCCTATTGTATATTGAGGGAATGGAGTTCAACTTTTAATTTTTACTTTTTTTTTCATCATTCTCTAATATCTTGTAAGTTCTTGAACAGTGCAGGATTGGGGTGGGGTGGGAGAATAATAATTGACTTCATTTGTTTCCTCTAATCAAACAAAATTTGTGGCTGTACATACATTTGGAATTTCCCAAGATTACTGTTTTCATATGTGACATCCGCTGTCCTATTGTAGGTAGAGGTGTAGCTTATGGATTTAAAAGCTCCTGGGTTAGATTCCGGTTTTTACCATTAGGGACATAAAAGTTTATTTTTATAATTTCAAAATAAAGGAGTTAATATTTTTTCATAAAAGTGTAACCCAAGTTTATCAAAGAATATTTGGGTAATATAAAGTTGAAAGAGAAAAAAAACCCATCCACTCCTACTGTCCAAAGACAATCACATGATTATTTTGGTATTTTTTTCCAGTAATTTTTATTGTTTTTTACTTTATTGAGGTGACATTGGTTTACAATAGTGTATGATTTAGGGAAAGAGGTTCAAACTTCCTCAGGTGTGTGTCATCACACAACACCCATGAAATACTCACTTATTAATGAATGTCTCACGAGCTCTATCTCAACCATGGTCAAATTCCTAGGTTGGAATTTAGTTTGATATTTACTGCTCTTTAGTAACACAGATGTGGATTTTAATTCTGCTGGACTTTAATTTGCTGAAATTCTTCACTGTTTCATATGTCGCTTTCATATTATAATATGAAAACCAACAAAGCCCCTGTAATTCTCTACTCATGCCTTGTGACCCAGGCCTCTTTTGTTTCCAGGCATTTTTCTAGGCACAAGTGTTCATTTTTAAAGAATGTTGTATTTATATTTAGATGGATTTCAGAATATGGCAATAAACGCTTCCTGAGGTATTTTGCACAGGTTAATATTTTGTGTCCAGTTCCACCATGAGAGAAAAAAAAATCATAATTAAATATTTTGATTCTCATGTTTGTGAATATGCATTGTAAAAAAGACCTCTTCTTCCTGTTTTTGTATGTTGATGTGCACACCCAGTTAAATCTGATGCTATTTGGGCGAAGAATCTTCTAGGACTTTTGTAATGAGGTGACTCCTGTGTTGTTATGGCCTAGAGAACAGGCCCATATTATTTTAGACCCAAACTTTCCTACTTTTGAGTTCTTAATTTTTACCTCTTATATGGGAGATAAAAATACATTATCTTGCCAGACTTTAACTTTTTTTAATAAAAAGATTATTAGAATGGTTTATTTTCTTTGCCAACATATTTGTTAAGATGTCTCTGTAACCACATTTAGAAGATTCTTAAATGTGAAAATACTCCTAGACTATTCTCTTCACTCATTGTATTGAACCAAGATAGCTTCTTTGCTTTTTGCATTTACTATGTAGTGTCTCCTCTAGACAAGTCATTCTAATTTCTGTTTTCATTTAGTTGATTTGACTTGTTTCTGCCTAAGTAATTATATGAATTTTTTTATCCTTATATTTCAAATTCTTTCCCCAGGATATGCTATTCTTTCTTTGGGCACTTTTAGACTGATGCTTAGATATTTTTTTAATGGGATAAAATACACGTAACGTAAAACTTGCCATCTTGACCATTTAAAAGCATACAGTTCAGTAGTATGTTAAGTGCATTCTTGTTGGTAGTTTTGGAACTAAGAAAGATTTCTTAAATTTGACATTTTCTTTTGTTATGTTTTTGTTTTGAGGGAGCTATCAGTTTTAAACCCGAAATTCTTTTTTTTTTTTAAGATTTATTTATTTATTTATACAAGCACTGGGTACAGTCAGAAGTGCGGGAGGGTGAGAGAATTCACCAGAGACAGAGTAGGGAACAGAACAGGCAGACTGAGGAAGTACACTGCTGACGGGAGCAGCGAAAAATGCCAAATAATTTTTTAAAGAAATTCTTTTGCTGCATAAGGAAAACAATTTTCTTAAGTCAGCTCTTTTTGTAAATGTAAAAGCAAATGTCTTTTTCCTTCCTCCTTTCTCCTTCACTTCTTTGCTGCTACCTTGTCTGCTAGCCTTGTGGTGAATAGCGATTCTTTCTTTTACCTCTCTAGCCTAATGGTAGCCTGGCTTAAATTTTGATGATGTTGTTAAGTGTCTCTTTATTTGACCCTCACTGACATTTTAGTGAGCAGTTGAAAGATACCTGAAATACCACCTAGTTACTGCTTTATATTGGAAACCAAAGTAGTTTTATTCAGCCAAGTTTCATTATTTTGGCAACATGGGAGACCATGGAATAATATATTATCATATATCTTGTTTTTCTAGATCAACCTAATAGTTATAAGCCTTTGAACTGAATTCATACTTTTTACCAGATTTTTAGCAATGTTTCATTTCTTCTAATTCTGTTTTAAGTGTTCTGTGTTGTTAAAGGAAGAATGTGCCATGTAAAACTTGGTAAAACAAATGTTATGGAATCTAATTATTGATTCTATATATTGCCGGTATCTATGTAATATAAGTGACATGGGTAGTATTTATCTTATTTTGTAATTTTTAAAAAGATTTATTTATTTAATACAAGACCTGGGGTACAGACCAGAGGTGCAGGGGGGGGGGTCAGAGATTCACCAGAGACAGAGTGGGGAGCAGAACAGGCAGTATGATGAAACACACTGCTGAGGGGAGCAGCAGGCAAGATAGGAGAGGTCTGCTGAGCCATGTGGGTAGCTCCCTGGCCAGGGATTGAACTCATGCTGCAGAGGCTGTGGATAGCTTCATAGTGCTGTGCTTAACAACCTGAGCCACCAGGGAGGCCCTGTATTCTTTTATATGATGGACTGTCAGTGTGGTCACAAGAGGAGAGAGAGCTGAGATTCAGGAAAGCAAATTTAAAGGCATTCAGACACAAGGGCCCACACAGGGCCACGTGTGAAAGGCACTGGGCAGTCAGCCGGGGCTGGGGGACCAGGGCTGGGCACGGTTTCAGCCGTGGGTGTTTCCATGGGAAAGGCAAGCATTGGCAGAGAAAGCAGTTTCAGACTGTCCTGTTTGAACAACTCCGCTGGGGTTTGGGTCTGCAGTGCTCTCTAGTTACCTGGCACCGATCTGACCTTTGGCTGATTTAGGACAGAGGAAATAATTGGGTTGGTGTGTGAGTGTAAGGTAAGAAAGTAATTGGGGGAAAACTTGGGGTTTGGTTGGTTTGCACAGGAGACACAAGCTTACGCAAGTTGTCATTTTCTATAGTAATTCACTAGCCCCGTGAGGAGGATTTTTTTCCCAACCAGAAAAGTTTTTTTAAGATGTCAAAACAGGGCCTCCCTGGTGGTGCAAGAGGTTAAGTACCGCACTATGAAGCAATCTGCAGCCTCTGCGGCACGAGTTGGATCCCTCACTGGCCAGGGAGCAACCCACATGGCGCAGCAGACCTCTCCTGTCTCCCGCTGCTTCCTCGGCAGTGTATTTCAGTCAGTCTGTCTGTTCTGTTCCCGTCTGTCTCTGGTGAATCCTCTCACCCCTGCATCTCTGGCCTGTACCCCATATGCATAAATAAATAAATCTTTGTAAAAAAAAGTCAAAACATCAAATATATAAAAAAAATACTCTGCACCTATTTATCATTTGCAAATGTATTTCCTAGCACTAACATTGTATGAATGAAAGTACTCTTGTTTTTGCAGGTGCTGTCAGTGCTAAAGCACTCACTGCTGTCCTTCAAAAAGCCCAGGGCTGTGGAAATGTTAAAGCTTTACTTTTTGTTTTCTTTGCAGTTCCTGATAAAAGAGGTATGATGTGCTTTTGTCTTTTTGTGATATAGGATGGCTACTATCTATCTCTGTTTCTTATCTTACTAATAAGTGATAGAATAATAAAATTGGGCCATATAGTGATTGTCAGTCTCTCTTATGTTAGTATTATACACTATTTTATATTGGCGCTTAGTAACTTATTAGTGTATGTGATGAACTGAGTCATCAGACTAATAAATAATTCTTGCTTTTTAGGGCTATTTAGATCAAGAAGGTCATCCAACAGGGTTTGCGGGACTCGTATCACATTTGCATTATCACGAGCCTTCTAATTTTGCTTTTGTCCATTTTCTTGTAAGAGGCCTTTTCCATGATCTCTGTCAGCCAACCAGAAAAGGTAAGCCAGGTGTATTGTAGTGTGTAGTCCAAAAAGCGTCGCAGAAACTGACGTGAAGCTAGCACCTCAGAAATATTTTTTTTTCTGCAAAGAGAGTTTTAATAATTAATATTTAGATTATTTATTTTTAAATATTTATTTATTTATGAATATAAGAACTGGGGTACAGGTCAGAGGTGTGGGGAGTGAGAGGATTCACCAGAGACAGAGTGGGGAACAGAACAGGCAGATTGACCGAAGTACACTGCGGAGTGGAGCAGTGGGCGAGTCAGGAGAGGTCTTCCTCGCCATGTGGGTAGCTTCCTGGCTGGCCAGGAATCGCGCTCGTGCCGCAGTGTCTGCGGATTGCCTCAGAGGTTGCATCTTAACCCCTGCGCCACCAGGGAGGCCCAAATATTTAGATAATCTAGAGAAGATAAAGTTTCATAGCTACTAATATAGATTATGTGGAATATAGCCATATTTGTACCTATTTCAAAATGTCAACAACTCTGGATTATTAACTTCAGGGAGTCCTTGGCTCCAGGATTCAGAGCATATTAAGTAATATATAACTTTTTAATAAGCATTTTCTTCTAACTAAATATAATAGATGCTCCTGACAAAGGATGTAGGAAAGCATTATGTTAAAAATAATGCTCATTGTTAATACTTGTGAATCTTTTCTTTCAGTTATATTTTCTTTGAATATAATTGTATAGTGTATTTAAATAGTGTCATTATTTGCCAGTGTGTATATTTTTTTTAATTACCATTTGCAGTGCTTCTTCATATTCCATTTTACCAATTTTTATTGCAAGTCTTGAGTTTTATTTTTAAACAATAAATCCCCACAAACTGTTCTTTCTTGTGTTTAAATTTCTTCCAGTTTTCAGTTCCTGGTGAATTCAATGCCTTTCACACATTATTTTACTTTATCTTCTATCATTAACTGATAGAAAAACTGCAATTTGCACAATAGGTCTAGTCACTATTCTCTGTAAATTCTTTGTCATGCAAAACAAAGATACCCCAGGAAATTCTGTCCACCGCCACCCCTGCCCCCCCCCAAAAAATAAAATAAAGCTCTGTAAGAGAATAAATAATTTCAAGCCATAGGAATTACAGTTGTTTTTATTGATGTGTGTATGGTGTGTGGTGTGTTGGGAGTAGGGGTTGGGTGTATAAAGATGATTATAAAGATAGAGAAAGTAAGTCTGGTGACATCATGAGGCCATAATACCTCTATCATTACTTTGCAAATGAGGAAACTGAGACAAAGAGACATTAAATAAATTGCCATCGTCACAAAATTTTAGTGTTAAGAGCCAAGATTCAAATATAAGTAATTGGCTCTACAGCCCAAGTTATTAAATGTAACACCTCTGTAGCCACTACCTTAGAGTGCATTGTTGTGAAGAATACAGAGTAAGTCAAGTGGGTCATATTTATTTCTTTTCTTTTTTTTTAAAGATTTGTTTATACAAGAACTGGGGTACAGGCCAGAGGCGTGGGAGGGTGAGAGAATTCACCAGAGCCAGAGTGGGGAGCAGAACAGACAGATGAAGTACACTGCTGAGGGGAGCAGCGGGTGGCAGGAGTGGTCTGTGTGCCATGTGGGACCCTCGCCGGCAGCTGGGGATCGAACCGGCGCTGCTCACGCTGCTCAGGCTGCGGGCAGCTTCACAGCCCAGCGCTCAACCGCTTCACAGCCCAGAGCTCAACTAGGGGAGGCCCTAGTTTGTTTTTATGAAGCACAGAGTTGCAATCAGTTTTTTGAGTAGGTGAGAGATATGATCATAAAATGCTTTGGAAAAACATTCACCTACTAGGATAGACTGAAGAGCGGCATCTAAGTCAGGTGATAAGGCAATTTGTGGATGGGGTGAGTGGGGTCTGAACTAAAGTGGGGAAAAATGAAAGAAAGAAGGCATAGATGTAAAACTGGTAGCAGATTTAGTCATTGCTTAGTTGCTATATTTGTCATTAATTTTAGTTCCCATGAAATAAAATTCAATGTAGCATTCAATTTAAATATTAGAAGTGGGATTAACTAACTTTATTACATTTAAAACAAGAAATTTTATTTTGCATAGGATCAAAATGTTTTTCTCAAGATGTTATGGAAAAGCTGTTGTTGGTATTGGCACATCTGTTTGGAAGAAGGTATTTTCCAGCAAATTTCCAAGAAGCTAATATCAAGTTTCATCAATCAAAGGTAAGATTTATAGTTCTGATAATATTTAGTAATTAAGATAATTTAATAGATCCTGCCAGAATTGATGCAACAGGAGTGAGATTTTATTGTCTCGTTGTGACGTGTGGTGGCGGGATGAAAAATGGATTACCCAGAGTCCATGTCCAGAACAATGAGAACCCTAGAGAGAGTACCCCAAGAAAGTGCAGCCCAGCTCCAAGGGCAGTCTCATTTTTATTTAGAATCAGACAGAAAGTAAAAAGATCAAACAAGCAAGCAGGCAAACGGGGAGAGGCACGGAACAGTCACAGCAAAGAATAATCAAAGCAAAGACACTGAATAGTTGAGGCACACAATAATACAAGCTCCCACACAAGATTAATTTGTAGAATAATTTGTTCTTTTTGTTTTCAATGGTATGTTTAATCTGTAATTCATATTTCCCTCTATAAATCTGTGAAAAGAGAGGCACTCCTTCTGGTGGAGTATAACATCACTTGAAGGCTATCAGATCCTGTTATAAATAATTACTGATGAAAAAACCCTGAAGCTTAAAAAAAGAGAAAAAACAAAAATATATGACCAATTAGTAGGAAAGGGGCAGGCAATTGTCAACACACAGATAATATCTATTTTAAGACTAGAGATGAAATAATAGTTTACAAAATATTGGCAAAAATAAATCCAGTGAGGTTTTAAAATCCTTCATAGTCAAGTAAGGTCTATGCAATTGTACTTTGTTGCTTTCCCCACCAAGTGTGTTATTAGATTCTTTGACATATTTGCAAGTCTAATGTTATTTAAGGGCATGCTTCCTGTTAAAAGATGATTTTGATTTAATAGCAAGAAGGCAAATTATTGAGAGAAAAGGTGTTACTTTTTATAGAAGCAAATAGAACAAAATCTGAGTTTTACCTCATGAAGGAATGAGAAAGTGACCTTGAATAAACAGCTACAGAATTATATTGCATTGTTCTTTTTCCCAAGTTTTAGTTTTCAAGAGTGGTATATAGACGTCTCCAAAAAATATTTGACCTCTAGGTGTCCTTGATGATCTTCTTTATGATTTAGGTGTTCCTGGAAGACCTTCCTGAGGATTTTGATGCTGCTTTACGAGAGTATAACAAGAACATTTCAGAGGATTTTGCCTCTTTCCTACGAATTGTTTCCAAATTGGCTGATATGAAACAGGAGTATCAACTCCCATTGTCGAAAATAGGTAGGTATATCTTGGCACCATTGTAGAATAATTTAAAGAGTAAATAACCTTGTGAAGAATATTTTACCCCAGAAGAGTAGAATCCTGGATTCTCCTGAAAGATAAGTCCTCCTTAGAGTAAAAGGCTCTCTTCTGCTTTCCAAAGAAAGAAACTACGATTATTAGAAGTTAAAAGGACGAGAGAGAATGAAGCTTAAGAGTCATTTATAAGCCTTGGTAAAGGTTGCTTTTGGTTCAGGCCCAGAAGATGGAGTAATCTGTGAGATGGAGAGGAACTAAGGGCTATTTACTTTTCCTGAGGGGAAATAATGTTGGTTGTGCATAAGCATAGACTTTGGAGAGATTACCTGAGTCCAGCCGCTAATTCTGCTATTTGTTATCAGATGGACCTTGGAGAAATGACGGCATGATCATGCCTTAGCTTTCTTAGTAAATATATTAGAAAGAGAATACTAGGCTACCTAGTTTGGGTGAACTTTAAATGATTAATATATGTGAATATCTTAAAAATGGCATCTGTCGCATCGTAAATGCTTTTAAACTTTGCTTTTATGTTTCATAAACTGTTAGGTGGAATCTTCAAGAAAAAGTAAGCAAGAAAAGGTGACCAGGGTAAAAGGCAGGCATTCACTCTGCGTAGTAATTTCCTGGTTTCACTATCCGCAAACATCCTCAACTGAAAAAAGTCAAGGAAAGGGGCCTCCCTGGTGGCGCAATGGGTTAAGATGTAACCTATGAAGCAATCCGCAGCCATTGCAGCAAGAGTTTGATCCCCAGCCAGGGAGCAGCCCACATGGCGCAGCAGACCTGACTCGCCCGCTGCTCCCCTCAGCAGTGTATTTCAGTCAGTCTGCCTGTTATGTTCCCCACTTTGTCTCTGGTGAATCCTCTCACCCCCTACACCTCTGGCCTGTACCCCAGCTCTTGAATGCATAAATAAATAAATCTTTAAAAAAAGAAAAAAAATAAGAAAAAAGTCAAGGAAGTAGAGTTTGTAGTTTCCTGGGCCCCGTTAAAATGACAAAAAGCAGACGCTGGTAGTGGAGCCTCTGAGCACCCTCAGGAGGCATGACGGAGTGTGACTATTCTGTTAAAATTCAAAGCCATGTTTCTATGCATGATGCTTTATAAGAACATGCATGGTGCTTTATAAGAACACAAATAGGAAAAAAAATGTCCTTTTCACATACCATTTCCAAACCTAAAGCTAACAGTGACTACTTGGAAAGTTTCTGAGGCCAAGTCTGAGTTCAGTGGGGGAAAAAAATACCGAAGTAATACTACTTCTGAAAATAATTCTGAAGTGTAAGTAGAAAATACTGTTTATAGCCTTTTATTTCCTGTTGATCAGAGCAACTAAAATATAATACAAATTTTTATAGTAATATTTATAGTGATAGCAATATTTACTGCTAACTTTTCTGGAATGTATTCTATGCCAAGATGTGCTATTCACTTGATGTGATATATCTTTTTTTTTTTTGGTGGGACCCTTGCCTTTGGCCGGGGAATGAACTGGTGCTGCAGAGGCTGCGGGCAGCCTCGCAGCCCAGCACTCAACCGCTTCACTACCAGGGGAGGCCCGATGTGATATATCTTATTTAGTCTTTATTAGGATATGGGACTTGGAGGGCCTTAATGGTGGCACAAGGGGTTAAGTACAGTACTATGAAGCTCTCTGCAGTCACGACTTCAATCCCTGGCCGCCTGCTGCTCCCCTCAGCAGTGTATTCCAGTCAGTCTGCCTCTTCTGTGAATCCTCTCATCCCTGGCAACTCTGGCCTGTACCCCAGTTCTTGTATGCATAAATAAATAAATCTTAAAAAAAAGTTATGGGACCTGGAAACTTGTGAGTGGGTCCTCTTGTGGCATGGTCTAAGTGAGATGGTCTGGAACACATGTGTAAGCTTTAACAATTTGGCTGATTTTTAAAAACTAATCTATCCCAACCTACTCTGGTCAGATTTCACAGGGGAAAAATGTGAAGACTCCCAACTTGCATCTCACCTGATGAACTGCAAGGAAGGAAGAGTAGCTGTTTCTCCATTTTTTTGTCTCTCGGGGAACTCTGATAGTGATTTGCTTCAACCAGGAACTCCAAACCATGTAAGTGGAAAATGTGGTTTGCTATAAAGGCATTTCAGAAAGAATGGGTTTATACTTCTGGTCAGCCTAGAAAGGACTTCAGCTTTCCAAATTGAAAACAAAAATGCCAGATGTAGCAGAAATTTCAGGTATATCCAGAAAATTGGATACATGTTCTTGAGACCAGTATGATTCATTTCTTAGTGTTGACTTGAGGGATCCTGCTTCATTCTAGAGTTCCCAGGCACTATCACTTCCATTTTTGAAGACTTTAGGGAGATTGACAGGTTTGCCTTGAAAAGAGCACATAAATTTTTTTTTCAGGCTTTCTTAGTTTTGCTATGTTACAGTAAACTCCATTTATATTCTGGATCACTGATGTCCTAGATGGAATACAAGGAATTGGACATATTTAGAAGATACTGGATAATCCATTTGAATGTTGGAATAAACTTGTAGAAATTTAATTTTACATTTTAATGCAAAAATTGAAATAGAAAATAAGCTTTATTTCATTTGATATTAAGGTTTCACACTTTATTTTGATTTTACTTGCCCTGGTATAATTTTACCTTATGCTACCGCTATATGTATCTATCTGTCCTGCCCTTCTTCCCTCCCAAGGAATCATCCTCTCCATCATATTTCTTAGCTTAAATAGTGTATACTTTCAATTTCATAGTTATTTTCTGTTGATTACAGAAACTTGAAAATAATACAAATTTTGGTAATTATTAAAAGTAAATTTAATATTGTGTTGGAAATGCATATATTAATGAGATAGGCTATTTCTTTTTGAATTAGTCCATATAAAATATTGGATGAATATTTACTTATTTTCAGAATAAGACAGTGTTCTAATTTCAGATCTCAATGTGCATACTAAGATACCTTAGTCAAATAGATGTTAAGAATGGGACAACTTTTGTTATAATAATAATACACAATTTTTCTAATTCCTTTTGAGTTACATGCCTCATATCATCATCAATGTTTACTTTTAATTTATCTTAACTGACAACTTGATTAGATTCACTTTCTATTTTGTTGAATTCAAATTGGAAACTACCTATTTTTTTAATATTTAAAATCTGGATGATTGAAATTGTCATTATTATGCTGTGAGGCAGCAGTGTTTATGGACAGAGCCAATCCATTCTTTAGGTTTGCTTAGGATTTCTCCAGACCAGTGTATGTGAAGACATTCTTTTCCTTTCCCTTGAGGAAAGTGCTTTAAAAATATTGATCAACAGTAGTGACTATAAAGCATGATGAAGAAACCATGAACATTCCTTATTCATAAATGGCAAATTAAGAGAAATTGTATTTCTGCAGGCCATTGTGGACACAATCAATATCAATCATAATCAGGCTCCTATGCTGAGTTCAAAGAAATATGATTGCCAAGGAAGAAGAATGCCTCTTAATGCTTATGCACTGGATTTCTATAGACATGGTTCCCTGACAGGATTAGTCCAGGACAACAGGTATGTTCTCGAGCTCACTCTGGCTTTCTCTCTTGCTCTCTCGCTCTCTAACAAGCTCTTTCTCTCTTGTTACAGTTCTCCCTCAAGGTTTGTTATTTCTACCTCCACTTCTTACCTCTGTCTTTTTGTCTATATCCATGTCCATGTCTTTCATTTCTACTGTTACCTGTATTTCTATATCTGTCTCCATCTCTATGGTTATCTATACTCCATCTCTTTATTGATGTCAAATGGATGAACTTAACAAATTTTAAGTAAAAGTGTTTTTATAATTTCAAGTGTAACCTAATCGTGCAATTCTTGTTATTTTTATTCATATTTTACCAGCCATATCTTGGGGCTTACAGTAACTCATTTGACATAAAGATATCCTCTACAGATAAAAATATTTGCACATATTCACAGATATATTTCATTTGTTACTCTATTATTTATTCATTATTAGACTTTTGCAAACTGAACAGCAGTAGGAAATAGTGCCATGCTCTCCATTATATATAAAGAAGAGTATATATAAAGCATATAATAATTCACATTATTGAGGATTGAGACCATGATCTTTACTTTAGCCATTTAGCAAGAAACCATTTTCAATGAGAGTAAGCAGGGGTAAATCAAAATCCAGGATTCCACAAAAAAAAAAAATCAGGATTAGAGAAATTAGGCATTGAAGGCATAGGTGTCTGTAGGATTTCACACCAATCAGGATTTAAATATACAATGTACATACAATTTTGAACAATATATATTAAAATATATAAAACTTGACACACTTGAAAAATGATCATTTAAAAATTATGATTCATTTTTGTGAATAGAGTAGTTGTGATATTTATTAGTAAATAATTCATTTGTCTTTATCCTTTTGGTTTTTAGCTCCCTTCATCCTTCTGAACTTTAATTTCTTACATTGGTTTTCTCCTGAGATGAGCAACCTCTCGGGTTCATTGATTCTTTGTGGTTCTGACACTTGTTACTTTGGAATTCATAATCATCATTCCCATCGATTAAATCATTATCTGGGAGTCTATGAAAGAAATGATCCTTGTAAATAATCAATTTTTGATCAATATTCAGTAAATTATTAATAAATCCAACATTTCCATCTGAAATAAGTTAATTTTTTATACTATTAATTTCTAAATGTTGTTTTGTTTAGGATGAATGAAGGAGAAGCCTATAACATGTTGAAAGATTTTGCACTCACCATTAAAAGTATCAGGTGTGTTATATATTTTAAATACTAATTTCAGAGCTCTAAAAATATAATAATTTAAAAATGTTGAATTCATATTTACAGATGTCATTGAGTCTAATTGGTGTTATGAATTTCAACTCCCCAAAGGTTTTACAGAACTTCTTAATACTCTGTGGTATTGTCTCTGTAATGGAATTAGTTCCACAGTTCCTTTGACATAAAATTCCACCTAGACCAGAGGCTTAGTCCTAGTCACACTGTACCAAAATAAACCCAGTCACTGAAGGCATAGATATCAATAAGATTTCACTATGCAATGTACATACAGTTGTGCCTTGTGGTCACAATGATGGTTTATAACTAGGAGGAAATTTAGTTTTGTCGATACGGATCAAAGAAGACACTAAGAAAAAAACAAACTCTGAAAACAAGGTAAATAATCAGATCATGACTGTTTTCAGTCTTTCATCAAGCAAGTTGTGTTATTTTTGGATTTCCTTTCTCCTTTCTTGCCACCTGCATATTAGTTTCTTACTGTTGCTGTCAGAAATTGCTACAAACTTAGTAGTTTAAGCCAACTTAATTTTTCCATTTCAAGGTCAACTGAGTAGGAATTTCTATCTGCAATCTTAATTCTTCTTTGCTATGAAACCTACCACATTCATAGCTTTGGAGGACATTATTCTGTTTTCCTTTAGAAAAGGTTTCAGCAGATACTGGATACAGTAACAGAACACAAAATGAGTCTATAGGGATATGTGAAGAAAGGAAGGGAAGCTATTATTTTTTTTTTAATTTTATTTTTAAATTCCCCATACAATTGCAACCCCTTATTTTGACCCCAATCCCTCCTTCCCCGCCCACCATAGTGTGTCTCTGTGTCATAGTTGTTTGTTGATTTTGAGTTTTTCTTTCTTAAATTATTCTTTTTCTGGTCCCTTATTTAGGTTTTCTAGATTCCTGCTATGAGTGAGACCATCCGTTCTTTTTCTTTTTCTTTCTGGCTTATTTTGCTGAGTATGATCCCAGGAAGGGAAGCTTTTAAAGGAAGAAGGGATAGGAATGTGGAATTTGTGACCTTTCAAATCTTGGTAGTAGACATGGACAGGAACTGCATGGAACTTGTTCTATTTATTTAGTACAAGGTTTTTATTTTTAGATAATTATGCTTCTTATCAGTGTTTAATTTTACTAACATTTCATCTTCCAGTGAGATTTACTTATTTCTGTGTACTTGAGGAAAGTCTTCCTTATAATACCCTCACTAAAGTGGGTGGTTTGTTGCATTTATAATATATGTATTCATTTACAGTGTTTCCTTGAGAGAGCTGTGTGAAAATGAAGAAGACAATGTGGTTAGCATTTGAACAGCTGAGTGAAACCTATTTTAATAAATTTAGTGTTGTCTAAAAACAAACATCGGGCCTCCCTGGTGGCACAAAGGTTAAGATGCAACCGATGAAGCGATCCACAGCCTCTGCAGCATGATTTCGATCCCCGGTCAGGGAGCTACCCACATGGCACAGCAGACCTCTCCTGACTCACCCGTTGCTCCCCTCAGCAGTGTATTTCAATCATCTGCCTGTTCTGTTCCCCATCCTGTCTCTGGTGAATCCTCACTCCTCACACCTCTGGCCTGTACCCCAGCTCTTGTATGCATAAGTAAATAAATCTTTAAAAAAAAAAAAAAGTAAAAACAAACGTCCATCCAAACTACTTAAAATATTGCCTTAGGCTTTTCTCAAGTCATATTTTGTGATTCTCCTGCTTTTTCGTCAGAAATGCTATATTAACGACGTAGAAAGAGCAAGCACAGTGGAGCCAGAGTTGCCATCGAACCTACCGTGTGCTCTCATGAATTCCTTTTTAATATTATTGAATATCTCAAATTTGGTTTCTTTATAAAGTTGAGTGATGCTGCTTATGTACCAGCTAGTTTACAGATTGCAAGGATTTTGATGTGATTAAAGAGTAAATTTTTACTCTGTGAGGCTAAACAAATATTTCAGTTGTTTTTCTCCTCAATGTCATAATTGTAAAAGTTTTATAAGTTAGAGTAAATGATTACAGTGTCCTGAAATGAAAATATATTCTCTCAGATTAATTTACGTGAGCGTATGTGACTTAGATATTTGGGTATCAGTAACTTCTAGTAAGTGTAAGCTAAATTTTAATATATTTATATAAATAAGAGTATTGGTATAATTTTAAAATGTTTTCAAATAAAAACATACATGATGATTTGGCTTGATTTTAATTGTATCAAGTGACTGGAAAACCATAAATAAATAAAATGAGTTTAATCTGCTTACTTCTTGTGTCTTTGTGTTAAATCTATGCATCTGTTAACCCATTTGCACACATTTTATATTCAATATTATATACATAATCATTTTCCCTGCATAGCCTCAACCTCAGATAACATTCTATTTTAGACTCTAAACTTGAGTAGAACCTTTCATCCTCAGAGCAAAAGGTCAATTCTTTCTTACTACTCAGATGACATTATTATACATAGGTGATATGTATAATAGATGACACTATTATACATAAATGATATTGGATTAGAAAATATCTGTGGCTCATTTTGTTTGGAGATGAAATACTCTTATTCCTGAAACTGATTCATTAGTAGATGTACCATGTTAGGGTTTCTATTTCTTTGCTGAAACAATTTCGTTGTTTCTTTTTTTTTTTTTTTTTTTTTTTTTTTAAGGTGTTCACTTTATTTTTTTTTTTTAATTTATTTTTATTTATTATTTATACAAGCACTGGGTACAGTCAGAAGCGCGGAGGGTGAGAGAAATTCACCAGAGCCAGAGCCAGAGCGGGGAGCAGAGCAGGCAGAAGGACCGAAATACACTGCTGAGGGGAGCAGCGGGCAGCAGGAGAGGTCTGCGCGCCATGTGGGACCCTCCTCGGTGGCCGGGGAGCAGCCTGGAATCAAACCGGCGCTGCAGAGGCTGCGGCAGCCTCTCAACCCAGTGCTCAACCGCTGCGCCACCAGGGAGGCCCAATTTTCGTTGTTTTCAATACTACAAAAATTTCGGAAAGCCAAGAACTAAGAAACCAAAATGATTTCTGTTGCTTCTTAATCGCTGAAACAATGAAAGACAATATATTATCCATTGGGTTTTTTTTACCCCAGTATTTCATAAAACCTGAGGGAGACATGAAGATGTATTGTTCCATATGACTGAGTCAATCTGGCTCTCTAAATTTTAGAATAAGATTATGTCTTGCGATCTGGTATTCTTAAAAGACTGGGTTATCCCAGCCCCTCAGAGTTGAATCCTAATGGACAGCCCTTTTAATTTTTAGCAACAGCATTGGAACTACTCATGAAGACAGTTTACATAGGAATTCTGAAGTCATTTTATATTTTAATTGTAATAATATTATAATGTGATTTTCTTGTTAAGAAGCATACATGGAGACCCTGGTGAGATTTAATGGAGAATGATTAATATGGCCATAATTTATTCCCATGTTTTTTCCCGAGAGAAAAGATGATATTTTTTCCCAAGAGAGGAAAAGAGGATCTTCTTGAATAGCTGTTTATTTAAAATTTTATTTTCAGAAAATTGTAGATGCAGATGCAGTAACAAGAAATAACCCAGAAAAATCCCATATAGATGTAATCAGTTTACTGAAAGGTAAAGTCTTGCATAAATAGTATAATACAATATCAGAACTGGAAATGAATGTAAAATAAACCATTATTCAGATGTCTTCAGTTTTATATCATTTACTCATTTGTGTGTATTTAGATCTATGCAATTTTATTGCCTTTGTAGGTTTGTGTATCACAATCACAGTGGAGATACAGTTTTTACACCAGCTCTCCCTTCTATCCCCCTACCCGATTCTCTACCCGTCCGCAAGTCCCTAACCTCTGGAAACCACTAACTCTTCTCTATTTCTGTAATTTTGTTATTGCACGACCTCTATAAATGGAACAATACAGCATAGAATCTGAAATTGGCTTTTTTCCCTAGCATAATTCCCAACACCCCTTTCCAAGGTTTTGCCTGTAGCAATAGTTAATGAATAGGATCCCACAATATGGACATATCCAAGTTTGTTTTAAAAGCCATTCAATGCATTGAAAGACTTTTGGGGACTATGGAAAGCTGTCAGGAAGTTTCCTCAGTCTACTAAAAATGGAGCTACCATATGACCGGCAATTC